CCCCCCCACCCCATCATTGGACTTTGTCGTCTGCCCCTCTGGCCCCTACCCTCCACTTCTACCAGATAGACGACCCAACCGGGGTCACATAGGAGGGGGGGTTGGACCCCCTCCTGCGGTTCATGCCTGAGATATTTTTATCGCAATCCCTTCCCTCGCGACTTAAGAATTCGGTCAAGTTTACTATCAACGAGCTTTGCAGCGCGTCGCTTCCAACGGAGACCAGGTGTTAATTAGCGAGTAAAAACTCACTCTGTCGGGACTCGAACCCATGGCCTGGCCCTTCGCAGACTGCGAGGCTACCCACTAGACCACCGGGGCGACGGTGTGTGTGGACACGTCTGTATGTAAGTGCCATAGCTATAGCCGTGAGACTGCAGCAACAGTAGGTTCTATGTTTTGCACACACACACACACAACCTCGTCCTCCCGAGAGCAGAGATATCCTCCTGCAGTACATGAGAGAGATGTGTTCCGAGAGCCAATGTGTTTTTTTGGAATGCCGCACGTTGCCGTCTCCTCATTCTCGGAAGAAATATTTACTCGCTTGCAGGCACGCACATACATTCAGTTAACAAACCACCATGAGATCAATGCTTATGCACCATCGCTGAAGTGCACAAAAGATAGGCACAATGAGGATGTAATGTGATGCTAGATACACATCCTGAGAGACACGGAAATAAATAGATAGAACAATGAACAGAGGAAGAATGATTGTCTCGGCCATCATGCAGGTGCGACCACGTCGTTTGGAGCGGTTTCAACGGCGCGGGCAGCTCATCCGGCGCCCGGCACCCGGAGCCCTCGGTGGCGGCGTCTTGCGGAAAGAGGGCGTCCCGCGGGCTCCGCGGAGAGGGAGGCCGAACAGCACCCTCTGCGGCGCCAGCCGCGCTCTTGGCGTCATCATGTCGATTTGAGAGTAGGCCTAATTCCGCCCCTTCGCCGTGAGCGACCGCTGCGAGGCTGCAGGGCATGAGTTGAGCCTGAGCCAATAATCCCTACCTTCAGCAAAACACAAACACTAACCGGGGAGTATGCACGATCAAAAAGAGAACTTCGTACAAATGATGTTTCGCGAGATACACGACGTTCTCATCTATGAAGTCGATATTTTCTCCGGGCTTGAATTTTTGAAAGTTGGCCTTGTGAATGACTCGGTATTAATGTGGTGCATTGCAATTTTCGTTGAAACTACTCACTCTTCTGTTGGAGCAAGTACGTGCTACCCAAGGATAGAAGTACTCTTGTGTGCCCATGTATTCTTGTGATCACTGAAATGCCTGGATTGTCGCGAATTCGGTTCCGACATATGATCGATCAAAGTGTCGTGGACGGACCACAAATGCATTTCGCACACAACACAACCACCATTCTCATCATTCGGCAGCTCAGCACAAATTCAACCGGGCAGACATGAAGAAAAAACAAGAGGATTCGTGTTTGAGAGACCATATACACGGAGCAAGACTCGTGCAATTACTGAGACTTGTAGAGAGTTTGCATGAGCCTTTCTCGTAAAACCCGTATGATCTTGGCTTAGGATACGACATAAGATTGGAATTGCCTGATACCCCAGAGTGAAGACCGACGGCTCTCGACCTGCCGGCGGCGCCGACGCACAAACAACGCTCCTATGCTGCAAGTTGCTTGTACACCTCCCTCGCGGCGTTAGACCGCGTGAAAACGTCACACGTTTCGTTGCAACGACACCAACAGGCTGTGAAAGTGCGAGGAAATCACAGAACAGTTCTGCCCAAAATATGATACTCTATAAGGCGCACAGGGAACAGGACGAGTGCTTCAGTAGTTTTCTTGCAGCAGGATGATCGCCGCCTACAAAAGGAAAGACAGCGTTGGAATTACTCGCTCACCCGATATACTCCAGCATATTTTGGTGCCGAATGTACTTGAGCACAGACAGCTCCCGTAGCAAATACTTTTCCAAGTCTCGCCCCTGCCGTGTTTGCTTTTTCACCGCCACCACATCTCCGAAGTACTTGCCGATGTACACTGTTGAGAATGCCCCTTCGCCAACGGCAGGACCGATGGTGACCTTCACACAAGCACGCAAAAATTATGTACCACTGCAACGTCAACTTTCGACTTGGAATCGCGAAAAACCGTCCGCCCTCAGGAAGAGTATCCCCGCGTGGTGCTGTGATCCCCATTTGAAAATTCTCTGGCCAAAGCGCACCCGAGGCCACTTCAAGCCAAACGACTTGAGGGGGAGAAACACACACCCAATTGCATCTAGATACGTACCCGCCCGATAATCATGTCCCCGGCCGTACTGTAGGAAACATACGAGTAAATACACAAGAAGACTATTAATACAATACCCGTTCCAGACCTAGTCTACTGTAAGTAGCAGTACATTGGAAGGAGATGTGTTCCGAGTTTTTGCAGTGAGTGGAGGGAGACCGGCTGGGTACTGAGCTTGTTTCGAGTATGCTAAGCCTTGCACTGATGGTTTATACCAGTGATACCAGCCGGTGCTAAACACACATCTGCATTACGGTAGGTACGCTGCATTTTACAATACATTCCCTGCAGACGTCCAGTTCTCCCCTGGGTCAAAAACAAAAACATGCCGTATCAGCAGTGCATGTAAGAATACTGCTGATGTTCTGCTGCAACTCACTTGTTCCTGTTCGACGTAGAAGTCGCTCTCCTCAAAGTCAGGCAGCTGCAACTGCAGCCCGACTTCATCTACCATAATCCTGAGCGGCTTCGCAGCGTCGGTGGGTGAGGTGGCAGGTGGTATGACATGCGGTACACTACCACCGTTTGCCGAGGGGGCAGGCGATGCCATGATGCGGTCGTTATAGGCGTGATGGTGGGGGGGGTTCCGTGTGTCGAAGGACATGCAGAGAGCCGCCACGACTGAGCGGCATCAACAGCAAATACTTGTACGACGTATTCACACTCATGTACCCCTAGGTTGCCAGAGTGACTACAAGTGCGCACGCTAGTGTCATCTGCAGCATCGTCGAGGTGGAAAACTGTTTCTTGTTTCCAGCTCGGGCCAGCGAGCATGACTTTTCGAGCCCCCGTTCGAGCTATAAGGACGGTGGCAGATTTAAACCAGTTCAAACAATCACCGGTGAGTACGAGGGAAGGGTGAATCAAGCAAGGTTCACTCGGCACTTGGCACAAAACTCCTTCTCTGTGTAGCTTTTGGATGCATGTTTTCGCTCGTGCCATTTCATCTTCTACAGATTTACGTCAGGGTACCTCATTGAAGGCGATGCGATGTACTGACAGTCTCTGCGTACTAACAGCGTTATTGAGGGACCCCGACTGCGGAGATCCCTCCCGACCACATGGAACAAACAACAAACCGAGCGAAGGCGGGCACGTACAGTATGCAACCTTCAGATGAATTACCTGCACATATTTCAGGGCGTTGATGCACACTCAAGCAGACCCTGCACGTATATATGCACATGGAGCATACCCACTATGCGTAGAGAACCAATTTTACGAGAGCACGCAGTAGATGTACCAAGCGAATGCGAGGGAAAAGGTATGTGTTGGGCCCTGCATTAGGGTGGGAACCCGCACAGATTGTGGCAATGTATCTCTGATATCGGCCAGAGGCGTCACAAGCCAGTTTTACTTTCCGGACTTTCGCTTAAATAATCTCTCTCAACCCTCAGTACTGGAGGGATACATGGGGACACTTTGCGTACACAGCACCCGAACTCCTATTTACTGCACCGCAGTTACCCTAGGCTCCGCTGTGTGAAACGCACGTGAGAACCCGTCATCTATCATGCTTTGGCTGAGGTGGTACGCTGTTTGATATGCTGTGCGAAGCCTCTCCTCGGCCTCTGACTTGCTGTACACCATCTCCCAAGCCACGTGTCCCCTATGTCCTACTAGACTGACCGGGGGCGGGGTAATACGGAGTAGTTTTTTTGGGTTGAAAAAGCAGTACCTGCAGTAGGCTCGTGCTTTTAGGGGCAGGGGGGTGGTGTTCATCATCATGAGCTAGAGAGAGGGGGGGGGTGTACTCATAGTCGTGCATGCCATAGTCGTTAGACTATTGACCTCGCATCCCTGCAAAGCCGGGACGGAGCACGCCGGGTTCTCACCGGACCAGGCTCTCACATCACCACGCGCGAAGCGCCGTGAGGTGTTCGGCGAGTCGCATGAAGGGTGCGCTGCATCTCGTTAGGGGTGTTCGGCATCTTGTGCTTGCTTCCTTGCGTACGGATGACAGCTGCGCATGACTTAATTTATTTTCTGGTGCTTTCACTTCCTGAGACAGTTATAAGCACTGTGTAATTGCCTCAAGGATGCTTGACCATTTTAACACAACGTGGTGCGATCATCCCCCTCGCGCGGAGTGAGGGTTCTCCCCCCCGCACAACATGATCTACTCGACCACGATTGTTGAGGGGGTGTTATTCACCATCAGCTTGCAGCGCTGATCAGAAGAAAAAAATAAGGGGGCACGCAGACCCTATCACTAGTCCTAACCCTAACCCCAAAGCACGGATTGAATACGTTATCTCATATGTTTGCTCAATCGATTTTGCTGCGTAGACTCCCTGCCGCACTTTGCAGCGCACATGAAGACCATGACGGCACACAGAGCTCCATGAAAGTACCCGAACATCTAGTGGTGTTCTCGTAAATCGAACCCCCGACGGAAGAAAAGCCGCACATCATGGACACATCCAAAACCGTAGATACCATGCCCTGTGGGTAGCGGGCAGCCGTTGCTGGAGTGACTCCGATCTCACACCAGTCCCGCCAGACTTCACGACGCACCGATGCAGGGTCTGGACGTCAGGACGACGAGATGCACCGTGTCAGCGACCCAGCTAGCTGTCTGTGCCCCCTCACCGGTCCCGGCCTTAGAACTCTCTCCTACCATTGTGCTACGTTGTATGAAGTCGGGTACGTCTGTTTTGCTTTCCTCGACCCGTGTTCGCTCATCTGCGCTACCTTTGCCTTACAAACATGGCGTTGTGCATGCCGCGCTTCTCGCTCGGCAACATCCTCGAGTAAACAACAATGATGGCGTTGTGCTACCCCCGAGCTAAATGGCGGATGCACTACGGTTGCCTCCGAGGATTCGCCCGTTTCTGCTCGCTCAGACTGATCAAGCTCGTTTTTCGATTCATCTGAGAATAAACACCCAGGTTCTATCCGACACATCAGGATACAAGCATCATTTTTTTCTCAGGGTTATTTTCATGGCTCGCTGTTTTGTTTATTTCATACCTTCAGTATGTGCCGAGCAAGCACAACAAGGCGCTGACGCATTGTTTAACACGATACATCGTATTTCATGTCCTCCATCATGAGCATCTTCACATGGCATTGTATGCAAGGCATCCACAACGGCCTTAACTTCATTGCCTACGGTTTAAGAGGTTTTCTCCCTAAAACCCACATAAGAGAACACCGGATTTATGAGAGAAATTTTGGCGTTTACCGACCTTCTCTTAAATCGTTGGCACCACGTATCCCTGTTGTACACTCAGGTCAATGCTGAAAACCAACATATGCTATGCGAGAAGGTCTTGTTCATGGATAAGAGCGTTTCACTGGGTGCGTTGCGCTGTGTTTGATCATGACGGACGTCCTGCCTGCGAAGGGTGTTTGTACATCCTTGCGCTGTTGGCCTCTTTGCCGGTGGTGGCCCTAATGGCCTCTCTGATATGCGTTGTATGCCCGCTGACGTCTAGCCCCCCCCGATTGGATCTGCCGTTAAGACGCAAAACAAGCGTTCACGTACGTGGGGAGCACCAGTATTGGCTAAAATGCACGTAAATTTGCGGTCTCTCGCATGACAGACTTACAAGGAGCTCATGACGTTCATCCGGTTATGCAACGATGCCGTGATCGGCGTGCGAGCTTCCTCCCTGCAGCTGAACACTGTGGATACGGCGATGGATACAGTTGGTCGAATCGTGGGGATGCTGAGACAGATGGGGAGTTGGGTCGACGATATCCCTCCTATTGATGAACCGATGAGATTCGGTAACAAAGCGTTCAGGTGGGTTCAGTTGTCCGCCACCTTCTCAAGGAGATTGTTTTCGACTTCATCTCACAGCTGGCATTCCTCTTTGTCTAGGAGCAATGATTACGATAAGACACGGGGCCCTGATTCTTGCTGAACGCAAAGTCGGACAAGGATAATCAACTTAGGTTGTGAGTTATTGCGCGGCATTTGTGTTTGTAGGTCGTGGTACCAAAGGCTTGAGCAAGAGGCCGGCGGAATGGTGGATACTCTTCTCGAAGGGACTGGCCACGAGGTGAGTGATTCGAGTTACGCACAACTGCTTGCGCTATGTTACGCATCGCACAGACAATTCTGCGGCGAATTCGAAGTTTTGCCTTCATGCTTTTCATGACCCGAGACTTCCCGTAGATACATCCCTAACCCCAAGTTGCCTTGATACTTTTCATGACCCGAGACTACCCGCGCGAAGGTAACCCAACCCTACATGGTTATTTCGATGCTGCTGGTGTAACGCAGCGGTATTGTGGTCATGAGATATTTATGATTCGTGTGCTTTTCACAGGCGGCCGCCGTGGAGTTGGTACCGTACTTGCTGGTGTCATTTGGGCATCCGAGTAGGATCGACTACGGAACTGGGCACGAGACGTCCTTTGTGGTTTGGCTATGTGAGTTGCCGCTTTGCGTACGACTCGTTTCCCCTCTCAAATCTCTTTTCTTTAATTGCATGTTCGGTCAGGTTGTCGCTCCACTGTTTGATTCATTTTTTTACTGAAGAACATCCTTCATGGCGACCCCGCGAGTTGAGGCGTCGTTGGGCGGCGGACTTCTGCAAAGCATAGACCGAGTGCAACCAGTTTTGCAGACAATTTGATTGTGATGGTATTTTCCTGGGTGCAGTCGTAAGGCTGCTGTAGTGCCGGTATATGCCCAACTATCATATAGCAACCCAGCACTACCCTAATAATTTCTCGATTTTGAGCGATTTCACCGGTTCTATACCGCGCAGAGGCCTTCTTCAACCGGCACTGCGTTGGGCCCACGACTGCTTGTTGCTGTTCCCACAGGTTGCCTGTTCAAGCTCGGCTCCCTCACGAAAGACGACTTGGCGCCCGCCATTCTGCAGGTTTTCTACAGGTGCGAAGATTTAGTAGGACCCGTATCGCTGCTCAAACGTGACTCGGAATGAATTTATTTTATTTGGCTGTAAGTCCGTTGCGTGTAAGCGTAGGCAGACAGACGCCTGCAAGCAGGTAGAGGGACGCAAAAGCAAATGAAAAGAGACGATCGTAACCACCCGAGCCCACTGGTACGCGTTCAACGTGCAAAAAAAACATGAGGATATTGCGCAACCAAGGCGGTCTCGCCTTACACTGCTTCTGGTCTCTCTCTCTCTCTCTCTCTTGTGGGTCTGTCTCTCTCTCGCCCTCTTCCGCTGTCTCGCTAGCTCTATCTGTTTCTCCCTCTTTCCTCTCTCTTTTGCTCTTTGTTGTCTGTTCATCTGGGTGTGTTGACCGGGCAAAACAAAAGAACAGCAGGGCCGTTTGACTCATCTAAAAGGCTAGATGTCCATGTTATTGTATGCGCATAGCTTGTGCCAACCCCGCGGTGGGTTCGAATCACGCCTGAGCCCGTGTTTGTCTGATCAGAAATATGAAACTGGCCACCCCCGTGATGGAATTCATTACAATTGCCATATGTCCCCAAAACTGAACTTAAGCGAATGATCAAAACAGACACAAAAACACCCTGCCACGATCGCCCTCATTGATTTTTTGACATGAATGTCGTTGACCGTCGTTCATTGTACAGAACGCGATGTGAACTCCACCTGCGCTGCTCCTTGCCTTCGCCAGCTACTTGCAGGTGATGCGCAGATTGCAAAGCGTATACATGCTCGAGCCTGCTGGCTCGCATGGAGTGTGGGGATTGGACGACTATCACTGCCTTCCATTTTTGTGGGGGAGTGCTCAGCTTATCGATCATCCATCCATCAAACCGCACGATGTGCTGGATGACAACGTACTGGACGAAGGTATTCCTGGTTGGGGTTTGCGTCAATCACACCTAGCGCAGGACCGATTCTGCTGTCTGTGCCGTCCTGACTTGCAGCCTGCTTGCTGAAACACCAGCTTTACCACCTGCTGATGACCGTCTATGACATTGCTTGACCGCTTCTTGACCTGTACTAATACCAGGTAAACACGACTACCTCTACCTAGGCGCGATTGATTTTATCAAGAGCCTCAAAAAGGGCGCTGCTTTCGGAGAGTGCTGTCCAATGTTGAACGACATTTCGCAGCTGCCTTCTTGGAAAAAGGTCAACATGGGCATGCAACGTCTCTACGAAGGTGAAGCACAATGCTGCTTTGCAACAGCTTCAACAGCTTTAACAGATGATGGCGGATGCACTCATTGTTGTTTGAAACCCGAAATGTACACTCCACGGCACCTTAGCAAATGCGTGCTTCTCTACACTTGGCCATGGTATGCGACAGGGGATGTTTTGGGCAAGATGCCCGTTATCCAGCACTTCTTGTTTGGATCTTTATTGCCATGCACATGGGAGCCAAGTCCGGCTCCAGCCGTCAACCCTGTCGCCGTCAGCTCTTTCGGAGGTCGAGCACCGTGGGCGAAAGGAGCTCCGGCACCCCCAGATGTGAGGTAGTCACAGGTGTTGCTCCCCATTAGAACATCGAAACTGTAACGTATGTTGCTTTTATGCATGCGGACATCCTAAAGCCTGGAATTACATCCGGAACCAGTCTTCCGCGAGAAATTTTGTACTGTTTGTCTTTTCCAACACATCTGGTTGTAGTGGTGACCCAAACCTGTGTCTTTCTCCTGTGCGTTGCGGGCACAGGAAGACGTGAACACCCGGTTAAACCCTATTTCTCGGTTAAACCCTATTTCTCAGGCTCGCGGCGTCTAGCACCGTTGCATGCTCTCATGGCTTGGATTTTATTGATGTTTTTGGGAGATAGGTTCATGATCGTTCTGGAGGCTCCCACTTCGGCGCTGCTTACTACTGCTACTGCTGGGGTTCATTCAAACTTGATCTGGATCACTTTCGCTGACTTTTGCACGACCACTACGATCGCCGGACTTGTGGCGATCCGAATTGTGCATAAACTTGTCATGCATTCCTTCGTGGTGTTTTGTTTATTTCCGATGATACTGGAAGGCATCACGTGTTACGCGAAAGACCTGAACGGGGGACCAAAAGATGACCCAACAAAGCTGTTCTTGTCTAACACTCGCGAATTTGTGATCCATGATTAGCAGGTGCACACTCTGGGAGCGGCGAAGGCGACGTCAGCAAACACCCACCCTACACGTCAAGATACCTAACGACGCAGAATGTAGCTCGGCACAGAGCAACGTGGTGGTACTACAGTAGGGTCGAGACGACCCGTTGCAGGCTTACTGCTTTATTTGAAGCAGCAGTGTGTTCGGTAGGCTCCGGCTGCGTCTTTCGGTGGTGAACGATCCGTCTTGTACGCTGCTTGTTTACTAGGTAATCCCTCTGTTTTGCCGTGAACAGGTGCGTCGTGCTCCATTTCGCATCGAAGTGCGCGTTATCTTCTCAACGGCGCTAATTACAGGGCACAATCGCTGTCTCCTCCAAGTCCAACGCAACCGCGACAGATTTTCTCGTTGGATTGTGCAAAACCGAGACTAAAAGAACAGGCAGAAAAGTTCTGGAGAGTACTGGTCGGATATATTTCCAACTTTTTGCAAGAATTTTTCACGAAAACCGCCCCCACCGGAATGCTGCGAATGTTCGGATGGATCTCTCTTGTGCACGTCGACTTGACTAATGCCTAGACTACTAGTCCATCTCCGCCCGTCGCCAGTCTCAGCCCGTCCGGTACATGTTGACGCACCCGCAGGGGTCACACGGGAGTTTGTTTTTCTTCCGCCCTTCCGGCGGTTGTTGTTGTGACCTTGAGAAGGGTTCAGCGGCCCCGTCCCTCTTGATTGCACTTATTCGCTGCGCGTTCCACTGATGCTGAATGGGAGTTGGTAGTCGCGCCGGAGAGATTCAAGACCTGGTGTGTGTTGTAGCTCAAACAAACCCTGACAAAGCAACATACGGTGGTTGTGACTCATACCCACTACACAAATCCAAGCCTTGATTGTTTGTGGGATTGGCTACAAACTTAACCGTCGGATCATACTTGGAAACGGGGATAATTGTTTCCATGGAAACACTCCTATGCACAAGTACCTACTGATCGCCCCGGTGGACTATCCTCGTAATCCGCAAGTAGCAGAAGTCGCGAGTACGAATCACCATGGGGTGAAAATTTTACGAAATTTGCGGGTGAAAGCGAAATATAGCTGAAAAGCTCTCGTGAGTAGTACCAAACTTCGACGTTAGCGCCGTTGACGAGGGGAAGGGACGGCTGGACCCTTCTCGCGATAAAAATAATATTCAGCACGCACCGCAGGAGGAAGGTGGGGCATAAAAAAAAAAAAAAAAGCAGAAAAAAGCCCTGGTGTTTACCCCCTCCTGTGTGACCCTGGATGGTTTTCGTACGAAAAAATACACTAAAAAGTGTAGTACTCTACATACGCTGAAAAGTGTAGTACACGTCGCACCACGAAAAATGGGGGGTCTGCTGTCGCCATAATAAGTAGGACGAAAACACAAACACAACACACCTTAGTTTCCTGCGTGTCATTACCAGACCTGAAATCCAAANAAAAAAAAAAAAAAAAGCAGAAAAAAGCCCTGGTGTTTACCCCCTCCTGTGTGACCCTGGATGGTTTTCGTACGAAAAAATACACTAAAAAGTGTAGTACTCTACATACGCTGAAAAGTGTAGTACACGTCGCACCACGAAAAATGGGGGGTCTGCTGTCGCCATAATAAGTAGGACGAAAACACAAACACAACACACCTTAGTTTCCTGCGTGTCATTACCAGACCTGAAATCCAAAGTAATATTTGTATGTAGATTAAAATGTCCTTGGTTCGTCCCTTGTGGGGACATGAAGGATTGTGGGAAGATATAGAACTAACGAGCGGGGGGGTTTCTCTTCGACAAGAAGATCTGATGAACGGTAGTCGAGCTGTGCACCGGGTTGATTCCCAAGGACCTCTCGGAAAGAATTTCTATTTTTCCCGTGAACCAACAATTTAGATCGGAGAATCAACTTGGGTTGTTGAAGTCGGCACCAGGTTCAAAGTGCGTAAATGGTCACGATACAGGCGTACTGTATTTTTTTTTCGTTTTCGTACTCGTATGCGTACGTAGCAGACGGTGGAGGAGGGTTGCTCCTCAAACATCCACCGCGGGACGGTAAAGGAACGGCTGCTCCCACGTGTACAACGTTTGTGCAAGTATTTGTGCGGAGCGAGAGACACGTCATCATCCCGGCGATTCGTGCGGGTGGACTTGGGACATCGTGTGACCATCACTCTTACTCATACACCACTTCTCGCCCTACTGCTCGGAGAGGGTGTGTCTACTTTAGATGTGTGCATCAGAGCCACGAGTACTTGCATACAGCTGCATACAGGCAGTACTAAAAATGAGTACCGGTAGTTCGGAGATCGCGGTGGGGATTTTCGTAGATTGATGCCTTACTCATCCCTCCCGGTTTTTCTCACAACTCACCTCTCGCCCGTTTTTCTGTCCCTCTGTGCCGCGAAGCTCCATGGAAGCCAACAACAGCAAGGAGGATGATATCGAAGTAGATCATTACTTCCTTCCAGGAGGTATATTGGATACGCACCATGAGGAGGACATGATCGGCGGGTCGCTTTTGGATGAAATCGGAGGAGTGGGCAATGTGACGACGGTGAGAGAGCTCGAGAACGCTGTTTTCGAGTGATTAGGTCGTCTGGCGAACATCTGGGTACCTCTCGCTTGCGAAGATGGCTGCGTGAAACTCACAGCTGCAGTTTGCTCCGGAAGGTTGATTGTGTCAGCAGTACTGCTAACCATCCCGCTTGATCCTGTCCCTCCCTGCCAGCTCCACCCTGCGAAACAGCTGGCAAGTAGGATAGTGGGCTCGGACCCACGCACCGACCTCCCTCCAGCGGCAACAGCGAGTGACAGACGACCCCAGCAGCTCCATAGGAAAATCACCAGCGTTATTGGTGAAGGCCCGACGTGAGTGTGTTACGGGGTGCTGCGCGTGTTGGTATAGCTTCATTTCTACATTTTGTGCTTCACAAAGGTATCTGGATTTTGAAAGATGCCCCCCGTGTCTCCAGGCATCAACGACCAACTTGTAAATTTAACCGCGTGTAGACTAGTCCATTCATGACCTTCGGCCGACGGCGTCAGGGTCAGGGTCAGTTGCACAGTCGTATTGAGCAGAGATTGGAACGCTTTTTGTTGTGAAGACAACAACAACAAGAACAACTATGATATGCTGTACATCGACAGAGAGGTTTGTCAAGGGTACCGGGAGTCATACCGTATATGACACAAGATAACACACCCCCTGGACCGATTTCCAAAGCTCGATTACTCCACGACGAAGGGGATGCATTAACGAAACGATACATTTTCGAAAAGCTCTCGGCGAGACGGTTTCAACGCCGCCGTTTTCGGCGCTGTAACTGTTCCTGCAGTTAAGAAGTCGAGCTTCGAAAATTGGCCAAGGGGGTGTGTTATTTTGTGTCATATACGGTGTTGAGGCGCCCTGCAAGCCACCAGGCGCCACTGAGGAGTAATTACAGTGTTCTGTACAATGCCCAACCACACACTTGTATACGTGCGTATTACAAATGCGCCACCGTTCCTTGCCCGGATTCAACGCTTTGAAACGCTTCGCGCGAACAGCCGATTATCTGTGGAAGGCACGAACCCCATGGCGAAGGAATTCACGCCGTCAACATGTTCCATTCCAGCAGACGCTGCCGTCGAAGTTCCTACAGGTGATACAAAACGGAGGAAACAGCAAGATTTCATCGATACACCAGACCTGGATACCTAAAACTGGGGCATCTTTAGTTTTTGTTATGACCTACCAGGTACAGCGCACCCACTTCATTGGTACACCACAGGACTCAGACCAATACGCACCAGCGTTGGGAATGGCCAAAATTGTTGAGAGACCATGACTACATGATTTTTTTTCAACAACGATGTAACCCGCCTCCCCCCCCCCCCCCTCCCTAGCTCTACGGTTTGCCTTGTTTCCTACTCCAACATAGTAGCCATCCACGCGCTGCGAGTGACAAGTGCAGGTCAAGACATGAACTTGACGACGCCCTCTGTTGTTTGCAGGTAGCCTCCGTGCGCATTCTCGACATCCAGCACCAGAAACCGTAAACCGTGTATTCTCAGCTGCTGTTGGTTCTGAGGTGAAGACTGCCGCTGCTGAGGTGAAGTCCATACCGTACCAAGGGATGATCACGGTGCAAATGATTATCCAACGATGCCCGCAACTTGCTTCGCTCTCCGCACGGATTGATCCTGCAACGTGCAATATTTCTGTTTTCTTACGCTGAAGGTAACTATCTAGAAAATGGCCGTCACGTCAGAATCATTCTGTCACAAGCGCGCCTGCCACGGCGGTGACCTGGACCACCCTTTGAGGTGGATGATGTCCCTTATGTAGCCAGCGATCCACCGAACAATTGGAGGTTGCGCCTAATGTTGAGTGTGCCAGGTGCACACAATCAAGAGTCACTCCTCACAAACTTCGAGCTGCTGCGTAGACGCACGTTACAGACTCAAATTGCCACCAACTTGCTGTGTGCTTCCTTGCAGCTACCGTACTGTACGGCGATGCAGCGACAGTCTCGGAATCTACAGGGGCCACCCGGGCCGCCAGGCCCAATCACCCCCCCGCAGGCAAGAGCGTTGCTTTTGCTTTCATGGTGTCAATGAAGTGTTTTACAATGTCGAATACTGCCTTGTCACACGGTACCATTCGTGTTTCTTAACATTTTTTTTTTTGTTATTTCCTCCTTTTGGACAGCCCGCTGCTCAACGTTCGCTTGGGGACCGAGCGCAGCAACACCCAAGGCACCAGCCAGGTGAGAGGATATGCCAGTCCTCCTAAGTTCTGATATGCGCGAGATGACCATGCAGGTTGAGAACCCTACAGGAACATTTTTGAGAAGAGAGTTTCTGTGGCTCCTGCTTCGCAGTGTGGGGAGGTATCGACGTGTATGTCCGACCCGGGCCACGGATGTGTTCAGAGCAAGTATGGAACGGTGTGAACATTTTGGAAACGTGTTTGGGGAAGCCGAAGAATGACTTGAAGCCTCACACTTTTGGTACTTCCGGTTGGATAGCTTTCGGCTCCCCGATTGTGTCGAAGTTACCCACTTCAGCTCGGACTAAAATCGACGAACTCCTGCTTCCACTTGGACGTCGCTGTTTACAGGAGGCAAGCCGTGGTCGGTTCGGGCGACTGCCACACACTCCCATCCTGGACCGACATTGCCCTCGAAACACCGAGTGGTGAGGTAGTCATTTTCATGTTTCGCTCCAATCGCACCAAATACGTACGGTGCCGTGCTGATACACTGTAAGGAAATATCCACTTCATGGGGCCTTCAGGAGAATGGAATATCATCAGTCGGTTGTTCTACCGCCAAGCACATCCGTCACACGTTTTCCAAGCTCAGCCAACCCTTTACCCGCATGCCTGTCGTTTTGTCTGGCCAGGCGGGCAACCAAGGACACCTTCCGTCTCCTCCTGGTTTCCCTCCTCGTGGAGTAATCCAGCAAAGGACCCCCAGAATGCGAGGCCAAGAGTCGGGTGTGTCCCCAGGATCTTCGCAGCGCCGAGACCTTGCCGTCCCCAGCAAATACCCTGGCGAAAAATCGGGGCAGTATGCAGGCGGAACGTGGGATCCGAACGATCGGGTGCCGTCATCCAAGACTGGTAGGAGCCGACTTACATGAAGTTCTGATGGCCTTTGGACCGATATGAATCAACATAGCGCGTGGTGGTTCCGGTAATTTTTGCTCAAGACGACGAACATTATTGATTTCTTATGTTTTGGAGAAAAATGCCGAGAACAGTGGCTGTGGTACGTTTTCATCGCGTTGGTTAGTGTCAGGTGGGCCGACTCTCAAGCCTTTTAGGCTCATAGACATCGTCCTGGTGTTGCCAAGCCAGCAACACCTGATGTTCACAATTTGTCGTTTGGATATTTCCTAGGATTCCAATTTCCTACCACCATCCGACAGGTGCTCAGTTCCTTGGCATCGCGCACGCTGTACGCCCAGAACAACGGAGGAATCGGGACGTTGCTCAATTTCCTCAAGTGCAATCGCACGGGCGAGCTGAAAACGGATTGCAGACTATCGCAAAGAGTGGCAGTAGCACGGGGCGTGACCATGTTCATGACAACACAGTTGGCCGCGGCCAGCGCGTGGACCAAGTTCAGGTTGTGTCTCGGGGGTCATCTCGCAACAGAATCCAGGCGCAACCTGGTGTTCGCCGAGTTTCCCACGTTCAGGCAAACAACCCACACCAGGATGCTTCAACAAAGGTATAGCGAATGTTGTGTTTTGTGTTTTTGTGTGGATTCGTCCCATCCATTCTGGTCGCCAGTTAACGCCTTTGGGCAATGTTTGATCAGTCGGGGTAAACAGGAAGAATGTAAATAATTATTTTTTAGCGTCCTATGTTGTTTTCTCCACCGCCCCCATGTGGTTCTTGCGTTCAATTACAGCACGAGAAGCGTTCAGGCGCCCCTCAGTTGGTACTCTCTCGTCACTAGCGCTTTCCGCACCTGCTTGCGAGGTTTGCGTCTGAATCACAGGGCAACCGATTCTCCTTCTACATCGCATAGATTTTCGCTGCCAGTACCAAGTGCACATGTTCACGCGTTCCACACATCGCGCAATAGCAAGCATTCGACGTATCAAGTTTGGAGCTGTGATACGTTTTGTGGCAGGTTTCCTCAAGGCGACAGGAGGATTTTGTCCATCAAGCCGCGCAGCCTTCTGTGGGTTCGCGTCTGGAGTCTGCAGGGGATGGCTGTTCACAACACGCCATGTCAACGTCGTTGTTTCCGGTGAAGCAAGGTGATGATTTGTTCACATCCCCATCTTCACCAAACACCCCCAGTCCATGGATTGTCTACCTCATAGTTACCTTGTGTGTTCGAGCATGTTGATCTAATCCGGATTTTGCGTGATACCACAGGTCAAGAGATGTTGCCGCCGCAGGCTTTGAACGAGTTGTCGTCATCTGCCCAGCGGCAGGGATCACATGCCGAACGCACAGCGCGTGATGATGGCGAGCCATCATTTGCGGCTACAAGTAGCAGCGGAATTCTGCAACAATCTTCGTCGTCTGGTCGAATGAGCAGCGGCAGCGAACGGAGTTCTCGGCAGGTGCGCTCCTCTATTCCATGAAGCATTCCATGTCTCGCCATCGACCTTTCGCCCGACTAGCTGGATTAGGTGTTCCCTGCTGTCGCCCTGGCCGTCTCTTCGTTGCCTGTAACAAGTGTATGTAGCCAAGACACATCTAGCCCTTGTTTGGGCCAGCGCGGTTATCCGTTTATCCGTCAGTTCGAGAGACAGAATCCAACAACGCTCCCTCATCTATCCCTCCATAATGTGTCGCAAAAGGCGAGGTCTGAAGAGGAATCAGCATGTCACCCACAATCGCATGTGCACAAGGAGAAGGACAAGGCAAAATTCAAGAAGAAGGATGACAGAACCTACAGAGCCGCACCAAACAAGCAAGTGCTCGGTGAGATACACGAACGTCGAAAGTTTGTTGCATGATTCGCCCCGGTGGTCTCGTTGATGTCCTCGAAACCTTCTAAAGCTCAGGTCAGGGGGTTCGAATCCCGGTGTAAGCGAGCTTTCCTTGCAAAGTGAGTTTTTCTCTCGCTTCCGCTCCTGGCCTAGTGGATAGCGCTAGTTCGTGTGTACACAGAGGGAAGAGATTGCTCAACTCTTGTCGCATTGAAAACCGAAGACAAAGCACCGCAGGAGGGGAGGCCAGAGAGGTGGCGTTCCGTGTGACCACGGGTTGGAGTAAAAGGCATTAGTGCTGTGAGCGCTAATTTGAAATGAAAAAAAAAAAGGATTGACTGAACCGTGGGTAGATGCGCTTGATGCCCTCCTCGATATGTTAATACAGCAAGGTGGCCATGGCCGTGGCTCTCGTTTGATTACGTTTTGTAAACGCGGTTAGTTAAGTTACCCAACACCGTCTCATATCTCGCTGTTACAAGTATTTTCATTTTCATTGGTAAATTCTTGTTCTCGTTTTCGTGGTGCCTAATACCTTCCTTGCGAACTGGCAGGAACCGCGGTCAAGGAATCCAGTAGAACGAAAATGGGTACCCGTCCAAGCCTGTCACAAAAAATAAGGCTGGTGGGCGGATACTTGCGCAGTTCATCGCTCGGAATCGTGGCAGCAATCGTGCGAACGATCGCTTGGCAGCTGAACAGGTTGGTGTGCGTCGAACGTCTCACACGCGTTATGTACAGGTGTGGTCGCGATTGTCCAGCTCTTTACTACTTTGGAGTTTCGATTCGGATTCGATGCGGCTGGCATCATTGCCATGCCGATGCCATCACTCGCTGAAACTGGAAAGAGTTTTGTGTTTTTCGTACTTGCTGTTGTGAAGTTTGCAGAGGTTTAACGTGAAAGTATTGATCACCGTTGAATACGAGCCCTACCTCGATCTCCTCAAGCCCTAGTCAGACCGATCATGTTGAATCAAGCTTCCTGGAGCAAAAATCAACTCGTTCGTCCTAAATCTTCAAGCACAGGTGGCTCGCGCTACGCCTCCCTCGTTAGGCCGAGCGTCGATGACTTTGGTTCGGAGCACGTTTCTTGTACGTCATAGCCTCAGCGGGATGGTTCCGCAGCGTTCGCTCTTCCGGATGTGCTCTTGGACTCGTTTGAGGAGTTGCGCGATTGATGCTCAATCACTATTGATGTTTATCGTGGAGCGCGCCGCGTTATACGCGTGGACATGTCGTATCTACAAATGATAATTTACGATCAGCATGTAATTTGCAGACCCTAAGTGGCATGTTATCCGCTCATGCGACGTCCTTGGTTCACAACGCAGGTTGCGTCTGGTTAGGCGCATGCTCACCTTGGTGTCATTTGCCGCGTCTTCTTCAGTGTCCCTGCTGAGTGCAGTGATCCTCAGTACGTCTTGGCTGTTTTTACTCGGACTGCGGCTTCACTCTCTGGCGCTCAAAGAAATCACTGGCAGCATTCACGTCGCGGTCTGCTTCCTCTTCCCGTACTGCTTTCAGTAAGTGCGAACTTTGAGCAAGTCGACGCGTGGACAAGTTGGTGTGAAGCTCTCGTCCTTGGTTGTTCTGATGATTGGGGAAACTCGAGCACTCAGATGCGAATTTGAAGTACGTCCCACAACGTGCGTCGTGTCCCTTTCCTGCGACACGTGGACTGTGCTGCTTCCCTCACAGATACTTGGTATCGGCAATCGACGAGTGGGCGCCTCACTGGCTCCCGGCCTGCCTGTGGTACAGCTTCCTGATGCAGATGTTCTGCACTTCCAATCATCAGTACAAGGTGGGGCCAGAATTGGCGTGGTTCAGCAGCTTGTCGTTTACGCCATTTTGTCGTGCGCGCGAGGATGCACCCAAACTCGCGAAGACGCTGACGGGTGTGCCGCCCTCGCCTTTGTTGTTGCCCCATGTTCCCATCCACCCAGCATTCGATGTCTTCCCACCTTGTCCCAGCTCTTCGTGCCCTACTGCCGGTGGCGTTCCTACGTGAGGTATGCACTTCCCGTGAATGACAGAAGAACCCACACCCAGTGATACCATTTGAGTTTCAAGCTTTTTCACCGGATGAGGTTCTATCTGTGAGGTTGTGGACCTTATGTTGCCCGACCCATTCAGTACAGGTCGCCAAGGCCATCGACGGGTGTTTGACAATCAGGAGGTTGATGGCCAGGGAGGTGATAACCACGGGGTTGAAATCACTTCCTGGAAATATTGCTGCCGCACGCACATGGTGTGGTAGTTCGGGCGTGTGATACCACCTAGGCACCTGGCATGTCATTAGAGTTTATAGATATGTGAATGGACGTGCAACTCGCTGACCCCAGAATGAACGCCAACAATCCTCATTGAAACAACAGCAAGTCCTCTGTGAAACAATTTCTTCGCCTATCGCCTGGCGTAGAAAAAGATGGCAAAAGAAATACGTCTGTTAAGTTTGAAACAAAGATGCGATCGGTCGAGCCAAAACAGCTGGCACCCTGCAGTGTGGTTCTGTACTCCCATACGTTCATGTTGTAGGTCGCCTGCGGCGTGGTTCCCCGCCCACAGGGTGCTGTATTGTGCAGGACCTCCGTCGTTCGTGGGGCGTAGTCTCAGCGTGCGCTGATTACCTCATCTGACCCGGATGATATTTCGGCCTCATGTTGTGAGCCTACAGAAGTTCCGCCCGGTGTGGTTTGCTTTCTGGGCGTGTGGTGTTGCATTCAGTCTTTTATGGTAAAACAATCCGATGTGTCGTCCACACCGTTTCTACATTTATGGTATCTTTGCGGAGCGTGTCATCACTTGGATGTTAACACCTATGACTCGGGGCGTTGAGACGGTGTATGGAGCACGCGCGAGGCGCGAGACGCCCCCGACTCTTGAAACACACCTGAATAAACACATGGATCACCGGGATGATTTCATTCGAGGCCACTGGTTGCCCTACGGTCTCGTTGGTCTATCTTCATCTGGGCGATTCCCTGAAATGCCACACACTTGCTGGAATCGGGATACTGGGCGTTCTGCCGACCCCGCGGTGATGAAAAAGCTAAATGTCCAACTTCGCCTTGACACTCGGCCAACCCTGTATGTAGTATGCGTGATTGTCAGACATTCGGTGGACACTGATCCGGTTAGAGTAGTCGCCTTCAGAGTATGCATAGTAACATTGGAGACTGACAGAAATTGCACCCGCCCGATGATATCATCAAGGTACCGTCAGGACGTAGCTATCTATTGGCGCTGGGTGGGTCCGAACTGCTCCTATTGTCCTTCACATTGGCAGCAGTGAGGCTTCGGTGCATTTTCAGCCCGATTTTTCTCCTGTCGTGGTCTTGTCAGGTGAGCAAGACGCGCGTTTACTAGTGCTTGTTTGCCCTGCGTTTTTCTAGTTGTTGCAGTGTAGAGTCCATTGGATGATTCACTGACCTCCGCGCGGTCTTGTACGCAAAGGAGCTTGTACGCGTGGGCACAACCCACGTTATTTGGTTGTTACAGGCAACGGCATCGTTCTGCTGGATACCCTTCTTGTCCCCTCGGGTCGCATTGCGGCAGCGCCCCACAAACTCGTAATAGTGTTTCAATATTTTCACGTGCGTGATCTCACTGTACAGGTGTTTGCGCTGGCGACATGTGGCTCTTCTGCTTCCCTCCAGTACGGCCAGGTCCTCTTGTCGCTGGCATCACTTCATGCGGTTTCTATGGTGGACGTTATGCTCAACAGCAGGTTCTACCACGCGAGGTGGGTTGGAGAAGCAAAGCCTTCCGCATCGTGTTCCCGGGCGGACTTTCACTTCTTGCAGCCGGCGAGCGTCGGCCCAGAATTGTTGATGTGTTCATGGGCGCGCTGACCGGTCGTGTGATTTCGAAGTAGATTGGCTGGTCAAAAGCAATATCCCGGCGGCAGGGTTCCCGAAACATTATTCAAGAGAGCCGCTCCAGGGGAACCGGTGAGAGAGCGGGGGAGGGGACGTTCAAGCGACAGCACGAGTTATATATGCCGAGAGAGGATGTGTCACGAGGGTTTGTTTGGCGGAAATAGTAAACAACAAAGAGTTACGAGTGTAGAACGAACGCATACAAGAGGCCTGGGTAGCACCTTAGTTATGATCAACTAGGGTTACCGAATAACGTGTGGTTATGTCCCCTTCTCCAATCGACCTCTCGGGAGACGGTCGAGTTTCTGAATTGAGTTGAAATCTGCCCTCCTACCTGCTCTGGAAGTCTGGTTGGAGGTGGAGGTAGCTCGTTAGGAACGAAATACTAATCGTGTGACCCGGAGATCACATGTCAACGCGGGCGTGTTGGGGGACAACCATGTCTACGACTCGTACATTACGCAGAGGGTGTCCCACCAAGGAATCGAAGCCTGTTGTGAATCACTTGCGGCAGCTTACAAAACACAAAAATCACGATCATCTCCCTCTGCTGTCACACCGATGCTCCTCTATTCTTGTGAACAGGTACAGGGCAGGCATGAGCCTTACGAACGGATTTCGGACCGTCCCCTGACCGCCCCACACAACACAGCAAGATGCAGAGGTTTCTAGCAGCGCGTTCGCGCAAGGCCCCGAGAAGAAGATGATGCGCCGTCGGTTTGGCATCGAAGAAGGACTGTACACTTACTCCAGACCTACACGGAGCGAGAACGCGTTCTTAGTTTCCTTGCTCGTATTTTGATGAGCAAAGGAGTCCGTCCGGATGTGCAGCGACGGAACGATGTTGATTTTAGACCCTCTTCGAGTCTGCGCGATTTCCGTGCCCAATCATGTCTAAAACAAATTATACGACCGGCAACTGCGACTGCCTGACCACCATGAACCTGTTGTACCGGACAACATCGGTTGATGGAATTTGGACAAGAGTGTAATTCGATATGGGTAGTTTTTAGGGCAATTAGTTGACAACCACCCGGGTAACTAACTCATCTCTAATTTTGATGTTGACTCTTAAATTTTTCTTTGCAACTACCCGGGCAACCAGTTGCCCGGGAACAACTAACTCTCCGCTCGGAATCTTGTGCAACTAGTTGCTCGCGAACAACTCCCTGTTCAGAATCTCGTGCAACTAGTTGCTCGCGAACTCTCTGTTCGGAATCTTGTGCAACTAGATGCTCGCAAGCAACTCTCTGCTCAGAATCTTGTGCAACTAGTTGCTCGCGAACGACTCTCTGCTCAGAATCTTGTGCAACTAGTTGCTCGCGAACAACTCTCGGTTCGGAATCTTGTGCAACTAGTTGCTCGCGAACAACTCTCTGCTCAGAATTTTGAACAACTAGTTGCTCGCGAACGACTCTCGGTTCGGAATCTTGTGCAACTAGTTGCTCGCGAACAACTCTCTGCTCAGAATTTTGAACAACTAGTTGCTCGCGAACGACTCTCGGTTCGGAATCTTGTGCAACTAGTTGCTCGCGAACAACTCTCTGCTCAGAATCTTGTGCAACTAGTTACCCGCGAACAACTCTCGGTTCGGCATCCCGTGCAACTAGTTAACTACGGACAAACTGCCGATAGTTGCCTACAAATCATTTTAGTTTTTCGACGAGGCAGGCCCCCTGCAGGGAGTATGGCGGTTTTTTCTCCCGTTGGAGACGCAACAGGCCATGGCCGATGTGTGTGACGGTTGTATCGCTGCAGCTCAACGCGCGATAGTGTGCTGGTTTCCGTACATTGTGCAGAATATGATCGCATCACGTTCATGTTGTTGTTGTTGTTGTTTCTCACATTAGCTCTAAAAAAGATAGATTGGGAGCCCGTGGTCTCAAAACCCGGCATACACGACCCCACGAAGAAACAGAAAAAAATAGGCTACA